GAAAATTCTTGTGTAAATCTTTTCCAATCTGATTTTATTTCTATAGGTAATACTGAAAACCATTTTTGGGCTGCGCCATCTAAGGTTGTTTGTATCAACGCTGTGCGTCGATGTATCCAATTTTGATGTAGTGGTGTATTAATTGGTTCAGGTCCTATATTTAAAATTAAATTTGCTGTTACTGCATTTAAATAATCTTCTACAGAATATTCAGGGTCTGTTCCTGTGAATACCATTAGTGGTTTATTTGATGTTATTGATGATCCACCCATAAGGTATGGATTCATTGTCAATTGTAGTGATTCTGCGGCATTTGGCATTTGTGAAAAATTTGAAAGTTGATTTTTTGTTATTTCGTGTTGTTGAAGGTAATATGGGAGTGGTATTTCATTTTGCATTTGAGTTGGTTGATACGAGTGTAGGATCATTGGGTTTTGTGGTTGAATTGGTTGAAAAGATTGTGTATTAGTTGGATTTTGCATTTGTATTGGTTGTTGATTTCGTGTATCTGTTGGATTTGGAGAAAAAAATCTATTATATGTATAAAGTTTTTGCGCTCCTTGTCCGCGATATTCTTGGGTATACGGTGCAAAAATATCTGGTTGTAAATAATCATCATCAGATGATAAGTAATCCGTATGATGAGGTGCTTGCTTTTTACTTTAATTTTGTTGAAAGAATGGGTAATTTTCACTACGATCCTGTGGAGGATGTGAATTAGTTCGAAAATTTACTGAGTTGGTTGTTGTCATTGGGTTATCCCAATAGTGAGAACATACATGATTATGATTAGTTTTTCGTGGGGGATAGTTTGTTTTTGACGAATGTGCGTAATTATAATTGTGTTCTGCAAAAGTGTTTCTTGTGAACGTTCTTCGTGTTTTTGACGGTACTGTCATAGGTCTATATGTTTGATAATCCATATGTGAATATTTTGGAGCAACCGAAGGTTTAACGGTTGATTGTAAGGTTACTTGTGCCAGTGAAGTGTTTGTGTTTTTTGGTGTTGTTAAATTTGGACGTATCGGTGAAATACTTTGTTGTGTAGTTGTTGTTGTTTGGACGATTTCTTCATTTATGAAGTGTGATGGTGTTTGGATATCTTGTTGTGTGAGATTCTTAGTTCCATTAGGGTTTTCATTGTGTATGACGGTCGAAATTAAACTGTTATTTCGCGTATCAGGTAAAAATGTATTGTAGTTTAATGGTGTTGCATCAATGGTTAGTGGTACTACTCTCACATAATCTCTTTGATAAGATATTGTACTTATTACTTGACTTGAGATTGATTGTGGGATGTTTATAAATGCATGATGAGACCATTCAGGGTCCCAAACGTAGTCTGACTGGTCTGTGATGGCAGTATCATCGTTTGGATTTTGAGGTCTGAAATTTTTTCTTGCTTGTGAAATTAAGTCTATATTATGTGTGAAATAAACTATTATAAACCATGCCAAAATTTTTTGTAAGTCATGTTTTGTGTGTTGTGAAACCTCGTCTTTAGTGAAATTTTCTCTGATTATATGTAGAAAAGTTGAAAATAATGTGATTTCATGTCGTACTTTTGTATGTTTGGATGTCTCAGTTGGTGAGATACTTTGAAATTCTGTTTTTTCTAATATTGAAATATAGCTATATATTATTGCAAAAACTTCGTTAGTAAATATGGAGTTTGCTCTTTGTGAGTTGTGATATTGTATGCTTTTAAAATATTCTAAGAATACTTTTGAAAATTCTAATTCAAGATGGTCTGTTTGAATTACATATTTGCGGTGATTCGGATTTGGTGTGCTGAATTCTATGGTGTAGATTCCGTATTGTTGTGTTAAATTACATATATCTTTCAGATAATAATCGATAATTTGTCTTTTGATTTTTACATCTGGGAATTCTGCTTTGCATGGGCTGATTCCGGGTTCAAAAAAATTTAGGAGTAAATTCTTGCAAAAGTCATGCTGCCCACTATTATCGGGTGCATCGATGAGGAAGGGGTATACCTCTTCTTCATCTGGACTATCGTCACTTTGAGTATGGCTGTGGCTCATTTTTTGTTTAATGATAGTTAATATATAACTATCGATGTGTCTAATTGGTTGATTCCAATTATACAAGTGTACTGGTTTGTGTTTATATTGCTTTTTTATTCTTCTTTTTCCTCTTTTTGATGAATTTGAAGTTGTTTCTGAGTCGGAAACATATAATTGATCGTGAATGGGACAATTTTTAATAATCGATTCTTTTAATTTATAGAGTTCATCTAAATTGCTGGCTTCTGATTCTGAAAATGCGTTTCTATTTTTTGAAAATTATTTTCGTGTGATTTGTCTTTGTTTGTTTATTATTTTTCTTTTTATTGTTTGTCGTTTTGTTCTAATATATCCAACTGTTTGTGTATGAGGTGTGATTACAAGATCGTATTTTTTGTTATCTATTTCACAGTTGTGTAAAACGATTGTTTGTTTATTTCCTAGATTTTTGAATGACATAAGGTTTAGGATGAAGGATGCAAAAAGTTGTTAGATGATGTCTACTTTCTTAAACTGTTAGTCCTTACGATTTTTTGTTTAGCTTAACCTGGGTCTAATTGTTCAGGGTTGGAGAGAAAAGTATATCGATTCCGAAAAATGATTTTTTACTTTCTCGTGGCTAGTATAAGCTAAGGTGTTAACTTACTTAATCTTACTTAGGGGTAGTGATTGTGTTCAAGGGTTGGAGAATAGTAAATCGATCCACAAGGTTCAGGTATAATTAGAACGCGAGTAGTTCGTTAGATACTATTTTAAACTTACTAAGTCTAAGATTTATCCTGGGTCTGGTAAGAGGAGGGTTCAAGTGAAGGATGAATAACCGAAGTTCTTCACTGTTTATCCTAATTTGAATGGTTAGTTTTGTTGAAAAATTTCTATTAGTCTTGGGTTTTTGGAAGGGTTGAATTGACGTTTGAGGTCGTTAGACACTGCTAAGTGGGTGGGGGAGAACAAAATTGTTCTTTTTGATCCAAGGATAGGCCTTGATGATCAGGTTTTTGAATTTATTGAAATAGGAAATTAATTAAGATCCAAGGATAAGCCTTGATGATCTGATTTTAAAATTAAATGAATTTAAGTTTAAAATGGTTTAAATTTATTTAAGAAAAAGATTTAGTTTTTTAATGGTATTAGTGAGCTTATGATTGCTGTTATGTTTAGGTGATGAAGCTGGGACAACAGATGATTTTATGATTACTAACAATTTATTGTCATGCTACTAATTTTTGTTTTGATTTTCAATAAATATTTTTCATATAAGACTGCAGAATTTAAGAAAACGATCTGAGACCTTTTTATCAATCGTTATTGTATATTAATAATTTTGTTTAGCGCCTGAAATGATTATGAAGATTGACTTCAAGATTTTATGTTTGCAAATGAAAATCTAAATATTCTAAATATCTTTTTATCAATCGTTATTGTATATTGATAATTTTGTTTAGCGCCTGAAATGATTATGAAGATTGACTTCAAGATTTTATGTTTGCAAATGAAAATCTAAATATTCTAAATATAAAATTTGTGTTGGCTTTTGCCGTACAATCATATAACTATATGGTAAGTTTCTACTTTGTCGTATGTCGTCTCTTGTTCGAGGTCTTCTTACGATTTCGGGTAGTTCTGTTATCGTTCGGAATATCGGCTCTGATCTATTGAGTCGTAGAGACATTTCGATTAAATTATCATCGTATAACATTATTTAAAATGTTTTGTCTAAATTCTAATCTATTTTTGGTTAAATCTAAGCTATTAAGGTCTTATTCGAGACTTATGGTCGCACCAGATGAGTTAGGACCGATGTGGTTATTTCATAGAGTAATTTCGGATAGGGTACACCGTCTGCTCGTCACGCTATCTTATTTTCGGCCGGATAGATTCGTGCAACTTCTTAGTCTAATACCGATCCTAATCTTACTCGTATACTTTCTAGTCTCAGGGTGTTTAACTAGTCTCTGCTAGGCTCAATAGATCTAGGGTATACTGGTTTGTTGCGGCTGCTGAAGTTCTCTTGGAGAGACAACTAATTTCTAAGTTAAATTCAAATCTCTCTGGTGCTGAAGTTACAAGTAATTTCAGCACTTACAAATAAGTGGGTTGTTAGTTAGATGGATCATGATTGGTTAATATTAAATACTTTACAGTGGTAAAATATCTAATTTATCCAATCATAAAATATAGTTTAGATCAGGTTCCAAATCAGTGACAGCGTAAAAAAACTTTAACGCAAGAAACGAACCAACCAAATTTCGAATACATCTCAGATCTTGTTCAGAATTCATCTCAGTGTAGCGTATAAATCTAACAACGGGTGTAATTGAAAACAAAAAGGCAAGTTTCTGAAGTATTAATGATTTTTCGCCATGAACAAAGACGGCTCTGAGTTAATTAATTCAGGACTATTTTGGAGCTCTGCACTCCAGATATTTTAATGGAAAAGTACTGGAGAAGCTCTGGATAGTTCTGCAAAGTCAATTCGGATGTGCTGTTCGAACAATAGCAAAATTCTGTGATAGCTGCTGTTAAGTTTCATATTTAACCGTAAAAACTTAGCTACAACTTTTTGATAGATTGACTATGAGTCAATTAGTAGAATCTACAGAAAAGTTTTTAAAATAATGAGGAGATGCCTATGATGCTTGTTGAACAAAACTACCGAAGACAACATGTGTTATATTGTTTTCTTTATATATACAAATACAGTTTTTTTTTGAAAATTCGACAAAAAAGCATAAAAGGCTTAAACTAGTTTCGTATCGGCGTCGAGAACCCTTAACTTTAGAAATTGTCGTCGGTTTCAGACAATGAGATGGCTCAAAATATTCTCCCTTGAGGGTTCCGAAAAATGCTTATGAAAGTTCTTGATTTTAATTTTTATGCAGCTTGAGTAATTCAGAATAGGTTGCTGGTTAGTTAACTATCAAAACTAAACGATGGGCTGGAAAGTGGAAAGTCTGGACATTTTGAACTTACTTGGGCTTTGTGGAGACACCGTTGCAACCATCCGGACGATGAGCAGCTGCATATTTCTTCTCATAATTCTCTGGGTGTAATTAAGATTTTTATTCTTTCATCGAATGCAAATATCAATTTTGATACAATTCTGGTTGAAAAATGAAAACAAAAATTTGATCTGGGTTTTCAAATTTTGTATACAATCTTTGATGGAAAGAAGTGAAAGAAAAAAAGTAATAGCTTGAAAAGTTTCTACAGAAAATGTAGTGCTGTCACTTTTTTCTATTCAATTATTGAACCTCGTTTGTTCTCAAAAGAGGACGGTGGGATAATAATCGAGTGTCATAACCAGACATTTCCTTATAACCAGAGAGATAAAAACTAATTCTAAAATGATCAATGATAAAACACCACAAACATATGGGTGATTTGGTGGCCAAATGAAAATTTAATCGGAAATCAGGCAAAGTATAATTAGTCTACAAATTAGAAAAACATGTCGAACTATAAAGACACTGGAAAATAATTTTAGGCTGCCACAAACAAGACTAACTTTTTGTAGTCGAAAAGCATTTGCTGGTGCTAAGAAAAGAGTGACAATAATTGTTGGTGCGAGTTTTCAGAAAAATCAAAGACTAGCAAATTTTCGGTAAAATGAAAACAAATTTATATTTTGACAGTCCGCCCAGGCTGATATCAAAATGGCGTTGAAACTTTGTCCTGAATTATTTAGTGCTTTAACTTTTAGCCTTAATTTGATTTGCTATTTGATTTAGGCATATCAATGTATAGATAAGTCGATTTATTGTAGGTTCTTCACGCTAAAGTTTTATAATTTCCTTCATTTTTTAAATGGATTTCTTGAAAAGTAAGTTTTGAAAAAACACACAAAAAATTTTAAAAATTACTAATTTCAGGTGACGCCAGCCTGATTTCTAAGTTATAATACAATTCCTCCTTTTTTAAGCTCAGCAAAAGAAAGCTCGGGAATTATCAAGTATTTCGGTTTTTTATAATTTTTTCATCTATTTCTTATATTATTTTTCGCCGCAATTCTTATATGTTTCAGATAAAATTTCTATTTAATATGTCAATATACCATCACTATTTTAAAATTATCTGAAGACAGTTAAGCAAAGTGGTTTCAAACTGCTTTAATTTAATGCAATAAAAAGCACCAATTTGACAATCCAGCTAAATAAACTTCAAAGACAAGCTGAAATTCGCTAATATAGCAATAAAAATCCTTCTCAAGTAAGCATAAAAACTGAGATATGCTGCAACTTTTCAGGCCTCCTCGTGATTTGGCCCCACAAGCTGAGACGCACAGGATGGTTTATGATCTATTTAAGGGAAACATCCGGTTATTTTGGAAAGAATGTTAAGCGGGCACTGTAATAATCTTTTTTTTCAAGAATGCACCTAACCAAAAAGCCAATTTAGGAAAAGCCCAAATTTTGTCCAAATTTTGTCGAAATTATAAATGTGTGATTATTACCCACGGTTCAATTAAAAACATTAAAAAACGCTTCAAATCTGTTTTTTTAAGAAGCAGGAAATAAGGCGACTTAAATCAGAAACTAACAAAAAAAGCTACAATCTCAAGCTAACCAACTAGACTAAATGGGCTAAAAAGATGAAAGTACCCTCAATATTACTAGAACTCAGAAGATGAAGCGTAAAAAGTGACATTTAATTTAAAACTGTCAAATAAGTGACACTAATTTATAATCCATCAATGTCAAAGAAAATGTAGATTACTTAGCCTTAACTATAAAAATTTTACTTCTGCGCAAAGTAATTTCAAGATATAGCTGAGTGCTGACATTGATGGGTCGAAAAACAAAGTTGATAATAGTGACAAATTATAGGTATCATTAAGGAAAATATATAGTTAACTATATTGATTACGATGGCATTAAACTCATAAATGTCATTAAACAGACGTGTTTAAAATTAAAAAAATTTCTAACTAAAAAATTTTTTTTTGCTTGAGAGAGGCTTGAGAATATACAAAAGCTACAGAAATGAGATTCACTTTCAAATACGATTATTTTCTGGTAAAATTTTCGGGTAACATCTTCAAACATTGGTTTCTCATTCAAAAAAAAATCTATATTAATGTTCATTGGCATAAACTTTGAAACAAAAAAATTGCTTGGCAAGTATATAAAAAATTGTTCCAACTACATGTAGAATTGACAGGTTTATATCGCGTTTTTTTGGCGCGCACTCCCCCTTAAAGTTAGTATATATTGGCGCCGAAGGCGCCTTCAGAAAAATTTTAGGGTCAGTCGGCCAAAAATGGATTTCTCAAAAAGTATCAAAGGGGGGACCCTTTGGGTCGGCAGGGGGTCGAATCCCTGAGGGAGGGTCATCCGACCCCCCGCTCCCCATCAAATCCGCCACTGTATATATATCTGCCCCTATATATATCTGCCCCTGTATATCTATGTATATAATCATAAGATACTTGTACATCAGCAAGTAAAAACTAACAATAAAAAATTTGCGTGCAAGATGCATTTCCATCACAAATCGGGTTTGACAAAATGCTTTCGAAGCCAACTCTGGAAAACAGGGACAGATTTAGTTGGGCGGGGCGGAGTGTGGACGCCTTTCTCTTCTCAGGGATTCCACCCCCTGCCGACCCAAAGGGTCCCCCTTTGGTACTTTTTAAGAAATGCATTTCTGGCCGACTGACCCTAATATTTTTCTGAAGGCGCCTTCGGCGCCAATATATACTAACTTTAAGGGGGAGTGCGCGCCAAAAAAACGCGATATAAACCTGTCAATTCTACATGTAGTTGGAACAATTTTTTATATACTTGCCAAGCAATTTTTTTGTTTCAAAGTTTATGCCAATGAACATTAATATAGATTTTTTATATACTTGCCAAGCAATTTTTTTGTTTCAAAGTTTATGCCAATGAACATTAATATAGATTTTTTTTTTGAATGAGAAACCAATGTTTGAAGATGTTACCCGAAAATTTTACCAGAAAATAATCGTATTTGAAAGTGAATCTCATTTCTGTAGCTTTTGTATATTCTCAAGCCTCTCTCAAGCAAAAAAAAAAAATTATACTAACTTTGAGGGGTAGCGCGCGCCAAAAAAACACGATTTTTTTGTCAAAATTTGTCAAAAAGTGCCCAAAAACGGCTTTTTTGACTGTTTTTATTAAATTTACCTGCGGCGCTGAAAATTTAGCCCAAAATAGGGGAAAAACAGTGCTTTGGGAGAACTCGAGCTAAAAAAAAGGTCGTTAAATTTTCTTGAAAATCCGCCCCCACTCGAGAAAATCCTAGCTCCGCCCCTGTATATATGTTTATATTTATATACCTTTTACCCTCAGACGCAAATATCAACTATGACGGTATATTCTTAGCGTCTTGGTTCAAATTAATGCGACCAAATGATTTAGCTCAATTTAATTTAAAAGGCATTATTCGCCTCTTACGCTTGTTCTAAGAACGCAATATAGCGCGCGTTAGTTGTCTCAAATTGGTCAAATTAGCAATTTTCAAATCCTCATGACATTACACAAAATAATCACAGATTAAATATCTTTTGAATTTAAAGGTTCAGACAACAATATTTTTCAGATGGTTTAAATTGTCCGTCAAAATGGCTAATCAAAAAGTCTAAACAGACCAAATCACACCAAGCATAAAGATTCCGCACATTCTTCGAAAGTCGGAACAATTACCAGCTGTTCAATGCCTTACCGATAACCGCAGTTCAATCATAACTGACAGAACAGCATCTATATCTGCAGATTGGTGATTTTGCTCTTTTGGTAGTCTAATTCTTCGCAAGCAAATAATTTTATCTGATTGATCCATCATTAAACTTTTTTCAGCCAAAAAACGAGTCACTTTTGGACAGTTTAAATGGCGTAGACTGGTTGAGAGTTTTCGCGCAATCGGTCATTCCTGCATGTGATAAGGCCTATATGGATTGATTTTGTTGACAAAACTCAACGCCAAACTTCTTCAGTTAAATTAACCAATCAGACTCTCTTCCATTTCCCCCCACCTTTTAGATTGTCTATTGCTATAACTGTTTCATGTGATTTATGGCTAAATGCGAGATCTTACGATGTAAAATATGATAATCATATCTGTTGCAACTGGTTAGTTGGTTCATCATGCTAAGTTTCACAGTCTTGTTACATTGTTGAAGTAGTTTTTCAAAACTGAAATTGAAAAGAGGAGAGGGGGTGGAAAAGAATCTAATTGATTGTCATAGATAAATTTGTCTGGCGTTGAGTTTTCCCAAAATTCAGTTTTGTGCGGCTAGGAATTTCATGCCAGTGCTATCACGTAAAGGAGTTATTTTAAATTTTTCCATATCAATAAACGCAAGCTGCAGAAAACCCACAGCAAAGTTGACTGGATGCAACAAGAAATCCCTTCCAGTAGCCTGACAATAGACACGCTTCGGGTTGATCACTGTCAAGCGTTTTCATGAACAGCAACAGTCCATTCTTGCTTGAACTGACATGCTCACAACAGGCACCAACCCGATTGCATCATCAGCAGAACTTGTATTCTGCCATTCTTTATTTAATGCCCTGATTTTCTTGCTCTCCTCCACACTTTTGTAATTTTTTCCATTATTTTGGCCTTATCATTATTTGATCAATTTTTCATTTATTTGTTCATCATTTAGTACCGTGCTTATGTCTTCTAAAATTTCGCACCTTGGATTTTACACTGTTTGTCTGAGCACTTGTACCGCATAAAATTCAAAAATTTTTCACAAAATCCTGAAAATTCTCAAAAAGCGGTCAATTAAACGAAAAGCGTGTCGTTAAAGTTACTTGGTGGACTAAACTAAATACCTATATTTAAACAAAAAAACTTTAATTGACAAGATGTTTTGTTTTAATGAGTAGTTGTTACTCTACCAAAGTTCTACCACGCATCAATTGTAAATATTTTCCATAACTTCTGAGAAGTCTTACTTGAGATTATTTTTCACGAGTTCCTTGTTTGATATAAAAGTTTTGTTTATGGTATTCATAACTTTTCGATGGCCTGAAAAATAATCCAATGTGCAAGTCTGCAAAATAAAAACTCAACAAAAAGTTTGAGAGTCCAAAAAATAGTTAGCTAAATGATGAGCACTAACGTGAAAAATGAGTTTTTTGGTGTTTGGAATTTTTGGAATTTGGCTTCATTTCTTAGGGAGAATATTTTTTTGTTTTATGAATCTTCTAATTTGGTGAAAATTTTGTGTGGTCGACTCTATATTACGGCTGACACAGCTTTTTGACATTGAGTTTGACTGGCCGACTCTTATAACCACCTTTGTCGACTCATGTGTTGACCCTTGTCGACTTATATATCAAATTGGGTCGACTTTATGTTTGTTTGACTATACAACATGGGTTGATAATCAGACATCGTTTGACCCCTACAATCAATAGAAAATTGAAGCATCTCAAGCAGAGATGAAAGTGAGTCCCTGATTGACTGTTTTTGAAGGTACTTAGAGTTTTCTGCTAAGCTTATCAAAATTTTTGGCAAGATCTTTTCCTTTCATTTTTGCGTATGGTAAATTTTGCGCCTAGATCAATTAGTTTGTCACGAATTTTGATACCTAGCAACAAGAAGACAAGAGGATAGACAGACATGTCAGTAAGCAGACAAAAAAAATTTAATTTCTTAATTGGATCAGTTTTTTTTAAT